ATGTATATGTATATGTATATGTATATGTATATGTATATGGTCTTTACACTTGGGGGTATGTACGTATAGACAGCAAAAGATGTACTACTACGATATCAAAACCTCAGGATAGTGCAGGAGTGGCCTGACGCTGGTTTGTCGTATATGTTTATGCGAGTTTACTATTGCATATCCTCTCATATGCATGCATAGTCCCGTATAGGCTATTTTTGTGTATGTAGGTAAATGTATCTATGTGACTTTAGTTTATGCAGAACAGAGTGTACTTTTTGATCACGATGTTTCTGATGGAGATGCACCTCGCGCGTACCACATGTGCTGTATGCATTACCATGTGGATAAGCTTCTAAACCCTAAACCCCAAAGCATGTTTCTTTTTAATGTTGTATCCGTACACGCTCAGACACAGTCTAAACCCTAAACCCCAAACCCTAAAACCCTGAAAAAAACTACGACTAGTATACCCTATTCACACCCATTATACCTAAATCACTTCTATTACATCTACTTCCTTCGGTACATATAGGCTTCTGCATTGCAAAGAAGAGGTCGTGCAGGGCGTGTACAGACAGGTGTGTGCTTTCATCTCATCTCCGATGAACAGTACAGCAACTTCAGCACTCACGCTCGCCCGGAGATGTTACGGGTAGCCCTGGACAATCTGTGTCTGCAACTGCTCAAGATGAATGTGTGCAATCCGCAGACATGGCTGAGTGGCACGCTCTCGCCCCCCTCAACGGTACGTGGACTGTATGAGGATGTGTTTGTGTAAGTATATATGGGTGTGTGTTTGTGTATGTATATATGGGTGTGTGTGGTTGTTGATGCATATGTATATGTGGGTGTGAGTGTTTGTTGATGTATATGTATATGTTTGTGTATGTATATGTGGGTGTAAATGTTTGTTGGTGTATATGTATATGTGGGTGTAAATGTTTGTTGGTGTATATGCATATGTATGTGTGTAGTGTAGGTACAATGCCCCGAGATGCTGCGGGTAGCTGTAGGCAGGCGCTGTGTGCTTCATAAGACTAACGCGAGCAATTCGAAGACTTGACAGAGTGGTATACTCACAATTTCCACTCAGGTGCGGCATGTGTGTCTGAGTGTGTAATATATGTTTGTATAAGTGAATGGCCATATATTTTGTGTTTACGTTTATTAAATAGATAAACGTATACGTATTTTGATTAATGTATATAATATGTGTACATATGAGTATTTTTGTGTGTATATATGACTGTAACTTATGCGTATACGTGCAAGATATATATACACATGTGTATGTTTCGTATGTATGCGAGTATATTTCCTATGTATGTCTTGTACATATGCGATTAGGTTTGTGTGTATGTTTCGTATATGTGCGAGCATATTTTGTGTGTACGTCTTGTACATTATGCGATTCGGTTTTGTGTGTATGGCTTGTGTCGATGTATGTATGTTTGTGTATATGTTAGCAGGGTTTGTCTAGATGTGTAGTATGTTTCTATATGTGTATGTTTTGTGCATAAGTGAGTATATTTTGTCTAGGTGTGTATTATGTTTCCATATGTGTATTTTTGTATATATCTGAGTATATTTTTTTGTGTCGTGTATGATATTTATTCAAATATGTGTTTCGTTTACATGTGAGTATGTCTTTGTCTCTGTATTTGTTTTGTTCGTATTTGTGTACATATTCATCCTCCTAGCTAAGCTAAATGTCTTAAAGTGTGAATGTGTGTGTGTTTTCATGTTTGTGTTGTGTATTTGTGTATGTGTTATATGTGCTCATTCCAGTGGGTGTTGTATGTTTTTGTGTTTGTACGTGTCTGGTTTGGAGTATGTTTGTTAACCT